CATTAATCGTCCATTCGAAATACCAAAATAGAAGATGGGCCTTTATAGTACATAGTGATGCTCGTTTTGAATAAAAATAGTTTAGCCATGAAAAAACAGTTTTTAACTTCCAGTTATAATAGTGATAACGTCTTTACATACTGTCTAGAATACCGAAGAGATGCAACGGTCATTTGTACAAAACTGTCAAGGGGAGGGTGATGGAAATTGACAAGATTCGTACACACAGCTTTTGGGACGGGAATTCTTGATGAGTATTCACCATCAATCTATTCCCTCATAATTCGATGTGCCTCTCACAACTCAGTAGTCATCAGCCTTCCACTAGACGCGACTTCCTTTCTGAAGTACTCAACAAACAAACCCGAATCAGATAACCATGATCAATAATAAATTCCACTGAACCCCCAAAACGTTTTTTTGCAGTTTTGGAAAACCAAATGTCCAATAAAACTGTTCAAATTATTTTCCAGCTTTTCAAACTTGACAATAACCATTTAAAGGAATCAAAATTTTTAATATTTTTCATTTGTTTTTTCTTTAGAAATTTTAGCTGGTCCTATAACGAATTTAAACAAAATATAAGCAATGACCGAGGAACAGGAAGAAATTCCGTCTTGTCATCAACTTCGGCCTTCACAGGCCTATTCACAGGACATTTCTCATCCGTTCAGTCGTGTGTTTGGTAATGTTTATCAGCAATGTTTACTCGACTACGATACGGAAGCTTATTTGAAATTGTCCAAGGAGAGCGATAACCCCGGGCATCAGGAGTTTATGCAAAAACTCGAGCAGGTTATCTGAATTGTAAAGTAATCTGGATTTTGTTTTCGTGAAGATTTTCAAAAAACACGATGCTACGCTTGAATCTATTAACACGGTGGAAGCGTGCATAGTTGAAACGAGAGCCAAACACGTTGAAAGCGATGGTCATCGTTCGGATAAACAAATTCACGCCAATCCGTTAAATCTTGTCTCACCCTCTTCTCTGCATTTGGATGATGGTAAACTGTGTTCCTCGTTATCTTTTGCCCCGGTCTAGACAAATTGAATTCCTTGTTTGAACAGCATGGATTGTTGAGCACAAATGATATATTTTTCAACGGAAAAAGTCGACGTCTGTTCTCATCAGAAAATCACGGTGAGCCCCCCCCCCTTGTTGCACACAGTTATTAGGTGTGAGAAAAGTCTAGAAGATTCCGTTACCTATCATTTGACAAATTCATATTTGCCCTCTGCGACTGGTCTAAATGCTCTGTTATTCCTTTCCGTTAAGGGATCAAAAGAAATTGTGTGGTGTAGAAACCATGAAATGATCTAGATAGCTGAACAAATTATGTTCCAATTGGGGTTTCATCGGTTCATTGCAGCCTCCGAACCGGGGTCTAATAATTCACGTTTTTGTTCATTGGGACATTTCGTAATATGAAACTGGATGGAAGTCAGCATTGAGATTGCATATTTATGGTTTCACCCTAAACCACGATTGTCTACTATTTCTTTTCGTCGGTGACCATGATTATGAAACGATCGAGGTAATTATACACCCAAGTGGTACTACAGGAAAGTAATCTAACTTTGAAGCCAATTGTTCGATATTCGGCTGTGATTGATTGTGCAGTCCACCTGGCCAGTTTTGTAATCAATGACAACGGTCCATATAAAAGGTTTCGGTGTTGTCGAGCGAATTTTCACTTTGAATCTGACAATTGAGTTACGTTTAAACCCCCGAAACGGCCAACTCCAAGGAAGAAGCCTTCGCCAACTAGCTTTTTGCATAAAAATATTAACATATTTAGATAAACCGAATCAAGAGATTCAGGTTGTTTGGGACCAGAAGTGAATTTCTTCAGGAGTAAATCAGTTCAACGTTCCCTTCCAGTTGAGTTTTGAGATGACATGTTTGTGAACACCCCAAATGGTCTACCAAATGTCTTTTCTGGGTGGGTATCTGGAGATATACTGTCAGATTTTGATTACGCTTACAGCATTTTCCATTTGTAAAGTAAGGTGTTCTTCATAGATCAGCGAGATCTGTTACATTTTTATCTTTATGCTGTACACTTTAAAAGTATAAAGTGATGATGCATGGCTCAATGTTGACAAGTCCTGATTTTAAGCAGTAGGTGATGGCTTCCATAGGTAAATAACTGTGCAACGAATAACGAGAGCACAGTAAAGGATGTGACCGCGAGCACATTCAAGGTTGAAGTGATTCGTGCCGGACAGATTCCCTTTCCGGCATTGACCGGATTTTTCTTTGAAGTTGAAAGTTCATGTATGCACTACCACAATGTCATCAGCCCCGCTTTACTATTTTGAGACCATGAATGTTGCACGTGGAGGACATACGCAAGTTTTTGCAGAAATTGACATAATTTGAATATCTCGAGCGAGTTAGATACACCAATGTAAGGTGTCTAATGTTTGTTGGTTTTATCTGATGAACTGCACGGAGCGGTTGAATACACTTGGTGTGACAAACACATTTAAGTTTATACTATGCGTAGGCATGATGATGACGCTGGTCCCTTTTCCTTCACCTCCATTAAATGTGCAACCTGTAACCCAAAAATCACTAAATGACCACATCCCCCAGACGTTGTGGTTCATCTCTTACGTTTGTATCACTGAACATTACCACTTCGGAATGGACTAGCATCCCTCACACTTTTGGTTCCTAGGGATATAAAGGTACAGGCTTGAGAATGAGTTCATTGAAAACACATGCTAGCCTATATGTATTTCCCATCTCACTCTATATGTATTACCCATCTTCCGCTTGAATTTGCTTCGACATTCCAATCTTCATTTCGCTATTTTATCCAAATGGACAACCAAAAGACAGCAACCAAAACCCGCGCACGAAAGTGCATGGTTAATGGTTGTAAAACTGAAACTGAAACTGAAACATGCTAGCCTACACTTCGCATTTTGATTTAGGCGATAGGTTTATTTTGCAACATCAAAGATATGCTGCACAAAATCTAGTTTTAAATAGGGATATACATTTTGCTAACTAAATGATAATAAAATAACCAATGTGCGTAATAAGCTGTGAAGATCAGGTCAAATGAAAACGTTGTTTAGTTTAGGGATCAAACTGAAAATCGTCGGATTATGCTGTCAAAAATGGACGACGTTGTGAGTTATCCAATATAAACTAATTTTCAATCAATACAGCGTTTCGTAATCACCTGCCAATTTTTCAAATCACTTCTTGCACTATTCTATCTTTATTGAGGAATCTGAATTCGAGGTGCACGAAGTGCCATGTACGCTACCAGATATTGTCTAGATTTGTTCGAACCGGGGCAACTATAGAGGAATCAATTCAGGATTTGTTCATAGTGTATTTTATAAGTTAGTGCAATGTGGTGAATGGTGGTGAATAAATCTCACGGGTGTCGAAAAGGGTAGTTTTGAAGAAATTTATTTTCAATATATCATATCAAGCTATTAGATAATAGTAGTAGAGACGTCTGATTGGTTAATTAAACCTGAATAATTTGTGTTAGACCTAGTGTGAGCAGGTTGATATAGTGGCAAATCACTTTCAGCCAGGGGTTTCGGGGTTCACACCAAGACATACACAATGGGTGAACTCCGAAGAGAATGAAACATGAATATGTCGCTTCGTAAGTGTACGAATGAATCAAGAATTGCACGTAAATATGAGATCTTAAGGGCTATCAGACACATTGATCTTTTCCTAAAATACTACTCACTATTATATCAAGCTTGGATTAGCCCATTCGATTGTTCAGAGGCATCAGACACTCTTGATGGTGCCTCGGAACAATCGAATGGGCTAATCCAAGCTTGATACTCTAAATTGATTGAGCCATTCGCACAAGGTGATGACCATCGGCCGTGTAGCCCAGGGGCAAGGGTTTGAAGTCCCGACCCGACTGATCTCGGTTCGAGTCCTGAAAGGGACAGAAAAAGTACGCACTCCTGACGAGTCCCAAACAGGACGAAACAGCTGTCCGGTACTCTTTGTTGGTTATGACAAACATTTCCATCGCATTTAAACTACTCATTAGTAGTTGTAAAATAAAATGTAAAAAGAATTAGATTTGTTGTACGTTGATCGAGGGGCTTTCAAAATAAATAAGCCAAATTATTATCTCTACAGCAATAGAGAGATCTGCTTGTAAATTTTAACAAAGCGAACATTGTGGGTTCTGAAAGACTTGGTTTAGTAGCTTTTGGTCGGTTGAGGTCAAATTGTGCTTTCTTAAATGTCTCAGGACAAAAGACAATGTTGATCTTTAGCCTTCGGCTAGAGTGAAGATCATCATTTAGAGATTAAGGAGAAGAGAATGGGAGGCAAAGTGATTAGTTAACTTGCGGAAATGGGATGTGTCACGCTTGTTGCTGCCAATCAACGAAGTTTACCAATTTCGTGCGATTGAGTTGCAAACAGAAAACCGTTCAATTTGAGGGCTTTAGTAGTGTTGTTCGAAAGGAATGGTCAGGACACTCAAACACATCAGATCACACTCTGTAACCCATGTGAACACTAACAGGAAACTGTCAACTACATCAAGTTTTGACGATTAGTCATTTTTTTCCACCGCAAATATTGCTTGTCGTAGAACTCAAAACCACATTGAACGGTTAATAATCAACTGGAATCATAATAAAACTTAGACGTTCATTTATTCTCAGATAAACGGTTCATGATTTACATGATCTCCAAGTTATGAATGGTTGTGCTTTATTTTCTGCAAATCTTTGCCTTTCCTTTGGATTTTCACCCATTACTTATCGTTTGATGTGGTATTCCGGTGAACTCAAATGAATAAAATACGGGTTATATTTCAACATCCCGATGACATTTACTTCCTTTTCTTTAACCAACCAACACAGCCGGTCGTCAAACATCGGACGAACAGACGGACAAATCTCACCGAACCTTGCCATCGCGAATGAAACAGACCGTCAAGGGGCGAACCACAACGACAAAATCACAGTCGCAGAATTTTCAAGATGTCATGAAGATTCGGTTCACGCCAAAAATTGAAGAAAGACAGGAATTGGAAATGGAATGGAAGAAGCTGATGGCAAAAGTGGGTTCACTGTTTGAGACACATTGTCACGTGTTATGGTTTTTTTCGTTTCTTCTTGCGTGTTCATGTTCAAACAAATCGAGGGAAGCTGAATAAATTAAGTCCGATTTGAGTTTGCCCAATCATGAAAGTGAAGATTCAGCTTTTTTAGCAGAGTACAATGAAGAAAACGACGCAACGAAACAGAACAGCTTTACCAAGTGACAGTACAGTGCGTGCAATACATAATAACATGAATTGATTGCCGCGATCGGTACCATCAGGTGCATAATTTACTAACCTACCGATTAGCGTTGGTACGCGCAAGCAAAAGTCCTAATCAGGATAAACATACACACTGTTATTGGAATGAGCATGCGGTCCGTGATCTTCATCAGATCGTTTACGGTTCATGAATCGCTGACATACGTCAAACTGTTTGCACGCATTCAAATAAACCAAGACTGTATTGAAAGGAACAGTACAACGGGAAAAATATTTTAGACGATTCCGGAAATGGGCAAAATGTTTTCCTGTTTTAAATCGGGGCGATCTACCGAGGAATGGTACGACCAGTGCTGAACGGGGGAAAGGGGCACGAATTTCAGGGTTTTATTCAGGGGAACAGTAATTTTATTAAGATTGGGAATGTCGGGAGACAATCGATGTACGTGGTTTTAGCATGGTTAGATACAGAAAGATTTAAGCAAGGCCAATAAAATGGATCCGATTTTGAAATGGTGCAACTGTCCTTTGGGACTTTGGCCGGGTAACTGTAAAAACTTTAATGACAGTAGTCTGCTATTAGGAGGAAAGAAACATCAACACCTTGATGTTAGCAGGTACGAACAATCGGGTTGAATACCATTTGGTAATTCTATTAGGACTAATTCAGGAAACGATGGAGACGCCCTCAAAGTGGGGCTCAGCTACCACGTCAGCATCAATGGAGCAATGTATCTTCCGATTCTCCTTATCACAACTGTGCTGTAGTTATTCAGCTAGAAGAAATAAGCGGACCCTGTGAACATCTGAGTAGTAGTTTCACGCACCAAGATATCGTGTAATATGATGCACGCATTTTTATAGGATTTCAGTCCGATAATCATTTGGATATGTGAGTGTGTATAAATATAGCACTCAACCTTGATGAACGACATAAAGTGCGCTGATAGTACAGTGAAGACGCTGGTGCTGCTGAGGAGCGGATAACGTTCCACCTCATTGTTCCATTTCTTAAGTAACCCTAAAACCCAAACATTTACCAAAAAGGGTTCAGATCAATAGGTCATATTGTTTGCAAACACATTTGTGGATTTAGATATTTGGAAGAAAAACCGGATAGTAGTTGTTACCTGGCCGAACGTGGGCTGGTTATTCTTACAAACACATACANNNAAAACTGAGTTCTCCAACGAATTGTTTTGGAGTGAAAAAGGAGGGAATATATAAGCGAATTCTGATCGCTTCCTTTGTGACCACAATGTGAATCCCAGTTCATTTAGATCAACCGCTACGAATGAAATAGAGCGGCCTGCCTGCCTCGGCCGTATCGACCAAGTGATTTGACTCCACCAGGCATGAAACGATCGAATTGTTGTTGGTGTAAGCGATTCAAACCGAATGGGGTTAGCTGACTCTTTCAGATAAAAATTTGATCGGGTGACCAATATATACAACCCCATGCAAAGTTTAATAAGTATCATTGATATCTTGTATTTTATCTGAGCTCCCAAATCACATTGCACTTTTCTTTTATGCTAATATGCAAAATAGCAAAAACTGTTTTTTCTTAGTTGTCTTAATTTTAATTCACATCGCTCCAACTCCTAGAATCAATTTCTTCGGAATCCACGCTATGAAGTCACCCCAATCAACTCTTCTCATCCGATTGCTATCTTTGGAGCGGAACCAAAGATCATTGAGTTTACCTCTTATCGAGTGGGCACTCTCCACGAGGTACGTTTCAACCGGATTCTCGATTCACACTCTGGGTTTATTGTAGACACAAGTGAAAGTGAGAAACATTTCAAAACTGACCAGATCCATGCGAATTTTGCCCCCGAGGACGGTACATTTTTCACTCGGTCGAGGTAGGTCACCGAACTGCCATGTATAGGCCTCTAGTCAGAAGATTGCGCAATTGTATTTGTTTGAAATAACACCTTTTCATTGTACTGCATGTTTGTGAGAATTTGGAAAATCACACAGGGCTTCACAAAAAATCAGTTTGCAGATGAACCTACATCCTATTGTGTGATGAAACAAGTGTCGTTTTCACTCTTTTGAGACAAATGCCAATCAGTTTAAGTCATTTCAATTAACATTATGAGCAATAATATCCCTTTTTTAATCCCGTTCCCACCATAAACAGCTCAGTTTAGGGCACAAACAGCCACGGTGCTAGAAAACTGTATTTCATTTAGCAGTTTGAATAAGGACAGAAAAGTTGTTTTAACTAAATTGTCTCATTTGGTGTACGTTTTCAAGCGCTTTTGTCCTCGTTTTTCTCTATCAGCCCTGCTCGAATGCATGGTAAGGTTGTGCATCTGTCTGTCTGTCTGTCTGTCTGTCTGTCTGTCTGTCTGTCTGTCTGTCTGTCTGTCTGTATAAGCCTACTCCTCAGCTTCTTAAAAACAGTTCACGCGTGAACTGCTATTATCAGACTTAAATTCACATGCACCATTGATACGATCAAAAAATAACAGAATACTTACCAGGTGCATTAAATAAAACAAGACCAACTTTCTGTTTGGGGATATTCATGAAATTATCTTCCAAAGGGGTCTAAGTAGGTCCAAAGCCAGGAAAAAAATTGAATGTACCTTTAAGATGCACTTACAGTACTGTCGAACTGGGTTCGGTAGAGTGCACGCAGCCTTTTCCTGTTTCCCCAAAGAGCAAGTCACAAGAAATCATTAATCTTTTCTCCCTTGGAGAATATGGTGAAATACACTTTGTTAAAACGGGAGTAAAAGAATATATCTATGTTCTTTTACTCCCGTTTTCACAGCCTTTTAGTTTGACCTTCTTATCAAGGAGTTTTTCAGGATACTATTCTGTCCCTTTCTGTTCTCAACCTATTTTTCTTTCATATCTGCTTTTGATGGTTGTTTGTTCATTAAGTTTGTTGATAATGTTGTGTGTGGCATGAACTTTTCCTTCATACATCCCAGACTTACGCATAAGATTTCCCTGCTCACCGACTGGTTTTCACATTATAAACTTATATTGAGTCCTAACAAGTGTAAAGATGTTTAATTTCCTTTGCTGATGTGCTGAACTCTTGCCAGCATGTCACTATCAAGTTTCCAGAGAGTGTTCCGTCAAATACCTTGGAGTCACCATTCTCCGTAATCTTTCTTAGTCTCCCCATGTCGCCCATACATTTCAAAAAGTGAGGAAACTCACGTTTAAATTACGCGTTCCAAAATGCTATTTAACCCAACATTTTGTCGTTTCTTTTATCCTTGCCCACCGGATTCCGATCAAGAAATTCAAACTCATGTGTACATCTGTCGAACACGAATGTCTATACAGTGGTATATCTCGTGAACATATTGTGCAGTTTATAATGTCACAAAACTTTAAGGCTTGGCAGAATATCAGAATACCCTCTGTAATCTCATCGTAGTAAATGTATCTGTATATCTAACACCCACCCCAAATACAAGCAAATGACAGCACGCACCGCAACACAATTTTTCTGTAATACCGTACCTCACATAATTTCTTACTAAGATCGATCTTGTTATTGAAAGCCCCAAATTCAAAATTTGCTGAATTTGCTGGACTGTTAGTGTATTTTATTATATTATCATTCCTTTTGAATGTACCGTGCCATTTCCTTTATAGAAGTGTGATTATGTAGTGGATGCATATTAATCCCCCATGGGGTGAACGAACATGGTTTCTTCACGTGACTTGGATTATTTGGAATAAACCTACACATACATATTCCTACTGTTCAGTAAATTTAATGCTGCATTCCATTATGTCGTTTTATCCTAATAAAATTATATTCCCACAAATTTCACCAAAAAGGCAAGTTTCCAGAACAAAAGAAGAGTGCTGTCGCACCTGGAATGGCTGTCATATTTACTGTACAATTTCGACCGGAAACATTAGGAGACTACGAGGACGAATTGGTGGTCGAATATGAAGCACAAACTCAACCACTTGTGATCCCTATCCACGCGAGAAGACCACGAGCTGGAGTTAATTGTAAGTCACTTATGACTGAGTATCGATCCTCCAGCTTCCGTATGTGAGCCTGTGAAACGCAGTCAAACGATTGGCGTTCAACAGAAAAACTCTGATGGCTTCCTTGTAACGGTTACTTTAGTATTACAGACCCTCGTGTTCAGTTAGGATAAGGTATGTTCATAAGACATCTATAGACCGACTCGATTTCCAAACTGTGTTAGTTAACAAAGAAGAATCTTACTCCGGGCTCAGATTTGTCTAACCGTCTGTATCAGTGATCACTCTCAACTCCCAGAGCGCAGGGAAAAGCAATCGCACCACGTGATTTTCATGGACGATACCCAGTTGACCTTAATTTACTTTCTGTAAACACCAGTGTGTCTTTGGTAGTGGTCGAATGTCGGTGACAAAAGAGTGAAAGATATTTGTATGCTAGGCGATTCCAACCAGTTAGGATTCTATGGATGAATACCAGCTCACACATTCTATCAGATCCAAAAGATCTCTATACCCCATACCCAGCACTCACCAACTTGAACTATGTATACAGGTGTCCCGTTTGTGTATATCTATTCCTTCGATCTCCAGACATTCATCCTTCACTGACCATCCGCAGCTAAACCGTTGCTTCATCGCTCCACATGGTATTGCACCTCTGTTCCACACCAGTCACAGCAAAGCATCGTCCAATCGATATGCGTCTTTCGATGGCAGTCGGTTATTCGAAACATTTTCACGGACCGTCGCACATACCAATCACAGTTATTCTTCTTCAGGTATTTCTGAACCAATTAAGGGTATGCCTGTTTTAAGAATGAAGCGGGTACTAAGGATCTGCATGATAAACAGTGAAAGATCCTTGATTATAGCCTCTGGCTTGTCACAGAAAACCGACCATCCGACAAACTGATGGCGAAGTGTACCGACTTCGTTGTATCACTTTTTCGTCCTGGGCGTCGTATACATTAGATTGTCTAGTGTTCTTGATTTCCTAACTTTAGGCAAACTGGTAACCAGAAAAATAAATTACTGCTTCATCGCAATTATCCAGAATCGGAAACAATGTCGAATGCTTGTTTGTTCCCCTAAGCGAATGGAGGTCAACCGATATGGTTCAAAAAAGGAATAAAGTTGATCAGAGTGTGGTACACAAAAATGAGGTCATGTGATTGCATCTCAGTGAGCCTTTGGAATTGTCAGCATAGTTCAAGGTGATTCAATAGATTTGCGTGTGGTTTGTTCCGGTGAGATGGGGTTCTCGTTTGTCGTCCAATTGTATAAGTCTATCTTATCTGTACCAGAAATGAGGAACGAGGCGAAAAATTTCCGACAAACGTGGCAGGTGCAATCCAGAAATAGTACACCGTCAGTATGCGTGCAATCACATCGTGACCGAAAAAAGTGATGAACAGTCGTTTCGAGTTTGTGTTTCTGTCGTGGTTCGATCCTCAAATGTTCAAGTTTCTACTTCAAAACCAACTACATGTTCGACTTCCGACATCAGGAAAGTATGGCTTCGCTAAATTTGACCTTTTTTGTACCATCCTTGTGAATTTACGGCCAATAGAGTCTACAGATGACTGATTCCACTTCATGTTCAAACCCAGATGGCTGTGAGTTCGATCAAATTTTGAATTACAGCTAATTGTTAGTATTGTTTACATATTGGCAATGTAGCCCTCAACTTTCATCTGCACGCGTAATTCTCGTTGCATTCAGCTAACCGGTGTTAGTTACTAAACAGAACAGAAAAAAAGACGGCAAACTTTGTTGCATTCTAGGCGGATTCACATTTCACTCAGGGGTAGTTCCTTGAGGTAAAAGCGTTACAGATTGATTCAACCAAGTTCTCTTGAATAGAGTCATCTGTTGCGACGGGGCTAATAAACAGCTACTTTGGTCATGAATGACAGCAGTTTGCTGGAATTGGGAGGAAGCAACCTAATGACAGCAAATCATCAGTTCCCTTCCAGATGGATTCAAATTTTGAACGTTATATGCTTGCTTAGGCTATTTCTTATTTTAACTTTGGTTTACTTTCTTCAATAAAGGTTTCAGTTTTCAGTGTCATTTACTTCCTGTACACTAATGTGCCAACTTAAACGGGTAACCTTGTCACAACGATGCTGTCTCACTCACATGTGATCAATAACGGAAGATGACACATGTGAGTCGGAAACATTTTGTTTAATCCCACAATCGCATTTGACTTACAACGGGGATCATTTGTACGAGGGTCTTCAATGAGCGGTGAACAACTATTTAGTCCTTGTTCAGACTGTTCAGTCTTGTCCAGCATTTTGTATTCCTGGTAATAATTGAGCCAGGCAACGAAGGGTTGAACGTTTAAAATTTGCAGAAGAGCGACATGTTCTTCGGCGGATAATTTGAGCAGTTGGCTACGCCAACTTGGGATGTCATATCATCCCAGAAAACCAGTTCTAGGCATTGTTTTGTAAATTCATGAAACACAAATAACACAAAAAGACACGAGTTTTTGTCGCCGATAGAACTTCTGCAGTTAGCGTATCATGCCATCACTAAAAAGTCCACTTTCATCCTGTGTTCATCCTCAGTCCCAGATATATTTCACCTGGATCATTGCCTGCTGTATGATCGAAAAAGCGTGCTTTTCCAGTTGCACAGTTCCAACAGAAGCCCGGACGCAGACACGCGGTTCATCCTGCTTACAATGGACGAGTTCGAAGCGTATCAAAACGAAGGTCTGGTCCAGTTTGACGTGAGTTACCTCATGAATGCCTATGCACTCCGAAATGGCTAATTTTGCCGGGCACACACTTGGACCACTCAGAGACAAGCAGTCCAGTTTCTCACACCCAGAGAAAGAGCAAGAGTTCAATAGATAATCTAGTCCATGTATGAGACTGTGTGTGCAAATTGTTAACAGCCAGTAAGAAGAATGCATGTAGAGCCAATACAATCACCCTCTCCTAGGGGCATTATGCTGCATAGTCTATTCCTGAATAAGAAAGTAAAAAATAATCATGATAAATATGTGCTCACAGTGGTTCCAACAAACTACATTTCCTATTGACACCGGACATTTCTGACTTTTGCTGCGATTACTTTACCAATTTTATCTGTTGTGGTTCCAATGAGCAAGACAAAACAGCGAGCTTATTCTACGCCTGTAATCAAAGTACGATTTCGGGCAAAATAACACTCTGACAATTGTTCCTTTGGCAACCCTATGGGAATTCGAAAAGGTCAACTAACGTCAAATTCACCAGTCATTGTTTGTCGAAACTAAAACATGTCTACTCAATTCATCGGGCTTTGTTGATAAAAGAGTTGGAAAAATAAATGAGAAGCGCTTGTAGCGATTTCGGTACTTGTTGAACATCACATTCCAGGTTTTGCCGTCTCAATGAAGGGCTTTTCATTGCTCACAAAAAGACAATACGAGAAGAGACATCTCCGTTTGTATTGATATGTCTGACAAACCTAGAGGCGCACAACTGTAGCATTGATTCGTGAGCTAAACGCAATATGTGAACGAAAGAGTAAAAATTAGTAGACTAAAGAGTATATGCCACTTTGGTCCATTTCGTTCGCTATTTCGTGGCATCAACCCGTCAGAAGACATACTTTAGTGAACCAATAGTCTGGATGATGATCCACAGATGAAAGCTTTTTATCTCTTCCATGTGAGGTGAAATATTGACTATTTTGTTTCCATTGTACGTGTCGTCTATCCTCTCTTGGGAATCCACACATAAGTTTGTATAAAGTTTTCCACGAGTGGATGAGTGGTGGTAGTGGTAAGGCAATAAAAGCCAGCAAGTTATTGCCCCAGAGGACGCGTGTTCGAATCTCATCAACACACTGTCTCAATTTTCGCATTTCTATGAATAACAGCCTTTTGATTGACCACATCCCCCTTCCTGATAATCGTTTCTATCTTTATATACAGGTGCATCAGGAATTCCTGTACATCAAGTAGTCAGTTTCTCACACAGACCAAGTCAAATTCTCAGTTTCACCACTGCAGACACCTGCAGCGATTGAAAATCTAAGTTAGTGATCTTTAATTTTTAACTACTGTTTGTGTACAGTGGTGAAACTGAAAATTCCACCGAAGCAGTTTCCGAATCTGACTATTTGATGTGCGAGAATTCCTAATGAACCTGTTTATATCCAAGAAAAAAAAAGAAAAAGAAAAGAAACAAAAATACCAATTGTAACGCAAAGAGAATTTTTAAATCTTATGCGAAATAATACTGACAATTGTTTGAATTCTTCTTTTCCGTCCATTCTCCTTTGATTCAGTCTTACTGGTCAAAGGTAATGCAACAAGAAATCACGAGGGTGGGCTCGTTTTCAGTTAGACCATCCAGATGGACTGTGACCTCCGATCAGTCCGAAATTCGCATTCAAATCGATTTCTGGCCAATCACATTGGGCGAACACAAGGAATCAGTTTTTATTGCGGCGGACAACGGAGATTATTGCCCGGCACGACTGAAAGGTAGGGAAATGACAGTTAGCCGTAGTTTTTATAATAGACTGAGATAATTATTTTATGTGAATGTAGAAAAAAAACCATCCAACGCTTAAACCGGTAAAAGGTTCTGGGCTGATTCAATGAAAAAATTAGTTTTGGATAAAGAAATATCATGATGAAACAAAACAGAAATAATATATGCACGCGGTTTTTTTAGATTTGTCAAATACAGTGCAATTTGCTCTATTGATTTTCTTTGTACGGATCTTCAGCTGGAAAATACAGTCGGATCGGGGTCTGTTAAGTCCAGTAAACTGCATCCCCGCCAAGTATTGATGGAGAGAGAGTTAATTTCAGCTGATGAGATCATCAACCGTGCACTTTTACTTGGTGCGTCGGTTTCTTTGTTTGTTTCTCTGCCCGTTCGGGGGTTGCGCTAAAAGAATAAGTAGAGAGCATAAATGGAATATTTGAAACAGTACCAGAATATAGAGACCGAAAGAAGTTAAAGTAAATTCGAGTAGAAACGGAATGAATGCACACAAAATCATGGTTAGTGATACTCAGCCGTAGATCTGCCCGAATTTAAGCAACAATAAACTGATTCCGAGATCTTAAAACGAATAGACGAAAGTGACCCTTATACGCTCGTGTCTTCTGGTCATACCAGGTCCTTGGTTGATCACCTTGATCTTCTTCNTCTGTCTTCGTAGTTAGCCTGAAATGGCATGACCAAGCCAACGTAGAGATGGACTAGAAGGTCACCAATATGAGTTTAAGTCATCGAAGGGGTCACAGGTATCCTAATTCCTGATTCCAAACGATTACTAATGAATATACTACAGACTGTGCATAGAGGTATGTATTAGACCGATCCAACAAACAAAGTGAAATCTTCATCCAATATGTCTCAATAAAAAATAAGTGAAGAATACAGCGAAGGAGAAAAAAATACTGTGGAGCAGTAACAAAAGCCTCATGTTCTGCGATCTTTACTTGACCTGACTTGAGTGGTACGTGACCGACATATAATGAACACACCAACAATGATGAATCAGTACAAGAGCACTGGGCCATGGTCTGAACAATTCTGT